CATGTTTGAAAATTCCACATTGAAAATTCATACATTTTAAAAGTAATAAGTACTAATAAATATATATATTAATAATCACACAACTCTGCTAACTGTGGAAATGCACCCTTGTAATCCCAGCTATTCCAGAGGCTAAAATAGGATAATTAAAAGGATTTTTAGTTTGTTGTTTGAGACAGGGTTGCAGTATGTGTCCAAACTGACCTTGAATTTACTATGTAGGCCAAGCTGGTCTTGACCTCATGGTGATGCTCCTGCCTCAGCCTCGAGTGCTAGGATTGCAGGCAAGCAGCAACAAGCCCAGCTGAGAACTGAAAGTTTGAGGCTAGCTTGGGTAATTTAGCAAGATCCGGTCTCAAAAAAATGTTTTTAAAGACCTGGAGGTATCTCTCAATGGCCCGAGGCTCAGTCCCCGTACAGAAAAGAAATAAAAAAGAATTACACTCAATTAAAGATTCCCCTCTTTCATCACACAGTCACATTATAGAGCACAACATGTATGATAAACCAGCAGAGCAGATGGAGATGTACACTGATAACTAAAAGTGAAAAACACTGTGGTCACAAAAGCTCAGAAGCAAGAGTTAACCTCACAGGGGATAAGTGAAAGTCTAAAGCAATGAGTCTAAGATCCTGGCTCCAGGGCCAGAAGTGGGGACACCATCTGGGGAAAAATCAGACACACATATTCTCAGACTACACTAGACCCACTCCTACAATAACAGTGGGAAGCAACTCATATTTTAACAAACCCTTCAGATATGGTGCTGGATTTCTTTTTGGTGCCGGGCAATCAAACTCAGGACCTCATGCTTGCCAGGCAGACACTATACAGCTGAGCTGTATCCCCAGCTCAGGTGTGATTCTGATGCATGCTGTTTGCTAATTGCTAGTCTAGGAAAAACTTCACGGAGGAGATATTTAATTTGGCCTTAGAGAATTAATATTTTACTATGCAGAAAAAGGGAAGGGACACTAGTAAATAGACGATGATAAATAAAAGTATGGAGATGTAAAAGCGAAATACAAAAATGCAAGAATGTAGGGGCTGAGGATTTAGCTCAGTGGCATAAGCGCCTGCCTTGCAAGCAGGCAGTCGTGAGTTTGATCCCTGGTACTGATAAAAAGAAAAAAGACAAAAAAAAAAAAAAAAACACCAAGAATGTAAATGGGAAGGATGGGAAATATGGCCAGAGAGGTAAATTAGAGCTAAATTATAAAAAGTCTCAAATTTCATATTATGCAGTTCAAACTTTATTGTACAGACTAAGGAAAAAGGTTTTAAAGCATAAATGTGTATCTTATTTTTCTTGTTGCTGAGACAAAATATCTGACACCCACAAGTTAAGGAAAAAAGGTTTATGTTTGGCTTATAGTTTGTAGAGGATTCAGTGCACAGTCAGCTAGGACCAAGGCAGGGTGGCCTGGCAGAGGGGACTCGCAGAGGAGAAACAGTTCACAGCAAGGCAGCCAGCAGCAAACTGCCTACAGCCTGCCTGCCATCTTTTCCATTTGGTATATCCAGGGTGCAAGCCTTTTGGGTGCCACTACCCACACCTAGGGTACGGTTTCTGTCAATAATAAATCCATTTAGCACCTCCCAGAACTATACTAATTCCAGTTAGTGGATGAATCTAATATCATACACCCTTAATCCCAGTGTCAAACAGCCTAGATCCAGCCAGTGCCAAAAAACCCACCTATAGGGGCTGGGGATTAGCTCAGCGGCATAAGCACCTGCCTTACAAGCAAGTGGTCCTGAGTTTGATCCCCAGTACCGATTAAAAAAAAAAAAAAACACCTATGAACACATTAGGCTTTGGGGGGACATCTAGATACAACACACAAAACTGTGTGACATGATCAGAGCTTTATTTATTTATTTATTTTTGGTCTTTTTTCCCTTTTATCGGTACCGGGGAGCGAACTCACGACTGCCTGCTTGCAAGGCAGGCGCTCATGCCGCTGAGCTAAACCCTCAGCCCCATGATCAGAGCTTTATACATGAATATACAGCTATTCTTCATTTAACGACTTACCTGTTGAAGGACTGTTCCAGTTTATGACCAAGATGCATTGTTTGGACTTAAGACCCATTGCTCATATTTATTGTTAGATTTTTTTCCTTGGCACAGTAGAGAAGAAAGAGAAGAAAAAGGAAAAAGTCATTAACTAGTGATTTCCTACTGTTTATTTCTTTCTGTAAATCTGTATAACTTGTACCCTTTCTCTGTCTTTTTTTCTTTTCTTTTTCTCCTTAAATAAAATTTAAAAAAATAAATATAAAAGAAAAAAAGAAAAAGGAAAAAGTCTTTGATTGCGGGAGCAGGAGGGCTGGAAAAGGGTGCAAGATCCCTCTGAAGCAGACAAAGAAGCAGCAGGCTTTTTATTAGGTTTGATGGGGATGGAATTTGAAGGGATGGCAAAATGACCTATCAACAGCTGATTTGGGGAATGCTGAAGCACACAAAAAGTGGAAAGTTCAAGTTCAGCTTGGAAGAAGACTGTAGAAGTTAGCATTGAAGTGACACACTGTGGCTCTAGGGCCAACACCATGTTGGGCAAGCACCATGCTGAGTTTCACAGGGGTGGAACATAGCACTTATGAACCATCTTTTTTTTTTCTTTTTTGGTATGGTGTATATTGTGTCCCTTACTTTTTTTGCCCATACAAAAAAAGATTAATATTAATTCTTAGCTCATAGGATTATTGTGAGCATTAAATAAATTAATAACTATAAATTATTGGGCTGGGGTTATAGCTCAGCGGTATAGCACCTTCCTGGCAAGTACGAGTTTATGAGTTCGATTTTCAGTACCAAACAAACAAAAAACAAACTGTAAATTACTTAAAACAGTACCTGGTATGTAGCAAGTCCTCAAAACAAATACCACAAGCGCAATATATCTAAAATGCTTAGGCTCACTGGGATATAGCTCAGTGGCATAAGTGCCTACCTGTCAAGCACAAAGTCTTGAGTTCAATTCCCAGCACCAAAAAATAATAATAACAATAATTAATAAATAAATAAAATGTTTAGGCTCAAATGTTAGAAGATAGGATGAATCTGGAACATGTTCAATTTCAACTACCCATCAGTCTATGTTCCAGAGCAGTGGTCGCAAGCACAGTTGCAATGTCCACTTTCATAAGTGATTATGGAAGGTGAACAAAAATATACTTTTGTGGGACATGGTGGTACATGCCTCTGATTCCAGCATTTAAGAGGCTGAGGCAGGAGGATTGTCATGAGTTTAAGGCCTGCCCAGGTCTTAAACTGTGAGTTCAAGGTTACCCTGAACTATATAGCAAAACCCTGACTCAAAAGAAAGAAAGAAAGAAAGAAAGAAAGAAGACACTTTTTAGTTTTAAACCATTTAGATTTTTAAATTGTTTCAACAACATAATATACTTTATCTTGATATGGATCGTACTTTAGCACATCAAATTCTCAAAAATTAGACAACATCCAGGCCTAATGAGAGTGTATGGAAATGGGTACTTTGGGAGTTTTACTAGTGATAATAACAATTGTTACAACCCTTTGGAAAAGTAATATGACAACAGACTCTGAAGAAATGAAATAAAAGTGCATTTTTAAAAACTCAGATTCCATTTTTGGGAATGTGCCCTACAGAAATAAAAGTAATCACTTGCTTAGCATATGTGAAGACCTGAATTCACCCCCAGCAGAAAAAATAAAATCAAATATAAGTAAAGTAAGTGCCAAGTGACCAGATCAAAAATAAAAGTATTACTTCAAAAGAATGTTTTTAGCAGAGTATGATTGTGCACACTTGTAGTTACAGCACCCTAAGAGCTAAAGCACAAGGATACAAAGTTCTCTCAGCAAAACTCTGTCTCAAAAAAGGGGGTAGGTACTGCAGGATACAGCTTACCATACATAGGAAACAATTTATTTTTCTAAATATGGTTTAGCAATACTGTGAAGTTCTATACAGCTATAAAAAAACTTTTTTTTTTTTTTTTTACTTCAGGGACATTCACATGTTAAATGAAAACAAAACAAAAAAATCTATGCACAAGGACTTATATGTAGACACTTAGAAAACTAAACAGTGTTAGCCCGAAGTAGCAAGATGGTAAGCAGTAGTAGTGGAGTAAATATTGTTTTTCTCATTACGTCTCTTTTTCCTTTCTTGTTTTTGAGACAGTCTTCCTGTGTACTTTGGCTCAGGCTGCCCCTTTACTAATGTAGCTCAGACTGGCTTGGAATTGGCAATGATCCTCCTGCCTCAACCTGTGGGCTGGGATTACAAACCTTCCTACCACACCCAATTTTGTTACATCTTTTTTTGTTTGTTTGTTTGAGACAGCATCTCGCTATGCACTTCAGACTGGCCTTGAGCTCACTTTGTAGCCCAGGCTGGTCTCGAACTCGCAATGATCCTTCTGCCTCAGCCTCCAGAGTGCTGGGATTACAGGCTTGAGCCACCACGCCCGGCTCTCTTTGTTACATTTGATATGCTTTTTTTTTTTTTAATGGAGTTCAAAACTGAACCCAGTCCCTGGCGAAAGCAAGAGCCCACACCTAACCAGTGCTGAACAACACCTCCAGTGCACATCTTGATATGCTTTGATATCCTTTACAGTTTGTACAATTTACGAAACAAAAAAAATCTGAAACCGGAGATTTAGCTCAGAGGCATAAACGCCTGCTTTGCAAGCGCGAAGTCGTCAGTTCGATCCCCAGTACGAAAAAAAAAATCTGAAGGAAAAGTAAGACGAAAAAAATCAGAATCTAATCTTGTTTGAGAACTGTCTTCACACAGTAAATTCAGTTTTACGGCCACTTGTAGGAGGCAGGGCTTCCGTACACCTGACCACGCCCACTTCGTCTCACCAGTCTTTTCTAAAAGGCCCTACTTCAACGCATGCGTAATCAATTTAGTTTTCCGTAGCTTCTGAGGGGCGCCGGGTAGCTTCGCATTTGACCCGGTCAGGCTACCGTCGCGGTGACCGGAACGGCACGTCTGCTTCCGGATCTCTCTTTTGCTTCCCCGTCCCACCATCACGCTGCTTCCCTTCCCCCCTCCCGCTCCCTTTTCCCGTTGGTTTCTCTCTTTCGCCTCGGGGCCAACCCCTTAGTCGTGAGTCTGGGGTCTGCTTGGTGAAAAACCGTTTGTATCTTGGGAGGTGTGGAGAGTACTGTTAATTACGGAATTTAGAAACCAAAAGCTTGTGTGAGATGTTCTGTTTGTGAGAAGACGTTGGCCGAGCGTGAGAAGAAAGTCTTCGCTGAGAGGCAAGCGAAGCGGGATTGAGCAAGGTTACGGTTGGGTTGGACGCGCCCCTAACACGGGCGGCTCGGAGGTGGATGGGACGCACCCTTAAAACGGATTGTACAGGGTTGGGGGCCCCGAGAGTAGTGAAGGCGGTGAGGTCTCACCTTGCGGTCGAACGTTATTCTAGTGGGAGTTTTTCCTGTAACTGTACAAAAAAGGAGTTGAAACTAATGAGTTCTTTGGATTTTGGATTCTAGGTAACCAGATTTTATTGCTTTACTTTCCTTTGGGGAAACCTTTTTTAGTGCAAGCTGGTGTATACTTAAACATAATATCGTTTTTGTTTTGTTTGGTTCTTTGAGTGCTGGGATTGAACCCAGGGCCTTATGTATGCAAATCGCGCCCACTACCACGGAGTTACACTCTCAGCGTGGTAGTCTTTAAAAAGTAAGATTTTCACGTAGAAACAAAGTAATATGAGAGAAACAAATCACTGAAAAACATTGAACTAGTAAGTTACAAATTACCACCCCTAGATGAGAAGGTTCAAGGTAAGCATATTATTTAGAGTGAGTTATCTCAGACACTCAAAGAAATACTAGATCAAAGAAATACTTTACTGTGTAGATTGGTGCTTTTCAGTTATCCTGAGTAACTCCTTATGGCATAATAGATGTTTCACCCTTTTTTTGGTCTTGAGATAGGGTCTCACCGTACAGTTCAAGCTGGCCTTGAACTTACTTTGTAACCCAGGCTGACCTCGAACCCGTAGCCTCCTGCCTCAGCCTCTCCAATTGCTGGGATTACAGGCATATACCTCCATGCCTGGCACACTCAAACTTCTAAACTCTCTTATTCAGGCCTGTTGGCCTATAGGAAACACTGAAAATACCACAAAATTGCAGCATTAAGTTTTGGAGAAAGGGGAGAAAAAACTAATTGAGTAACAGCAGTGAAGCATGAATTTTTTAGAAGACTGAAATTCTTTGTTGGTTGTGGTTAACGACTTCAGAGTAATTTTAATTTCTTCTTGGATATAAAGGACAAAACCATGTCTTCCCTCCCCGGGTGCATTGGTTTGAATGCAGCAACAGCTACAGGGGAATCTGAAGAGATTGCAGAGCTGCAACAGGCAGTGGTTGAAGAGCTAGGTATTTCTATGGAGGAACTTCGACAGTTCATTGATGAAGAGCTGGAAAAGATGGATTGCGTAAAACAACGCAAGAAGCAATTAGCAGAGTTGGAGACATGGGTGATACAGAAAGAATCTGAAGTGGCTCATGTTGACCAGCTCTTTGATGATGCATCCAGGTGAGGACTAAGTAGAAAATAGACAGAAATCTGTCCACTGCAGACATTTTTGAGTATAGTTAATGGTGGCATTATACTAAGAAGTTTCTACTAAGTACAGTTGTGTGGAACTTTACTTCTTCAAAGTTTATGATCTGAAATCTGATCTTATAAGAATATATATGTATATATACGCACAGAGAGACGCATATATGTATATGTGTATATATTGCATTTTTTTAACAGAAAATCCTAAATTTCTTCCTTCTTCCCTTGTACTCTATTCTAGAAGAGTTGTTTTGTTTATAATCATCCGAGGACAGAGGATGTACCTATGGAACATTAGTTCCTTGAGCTGGGATGACATTCAGTGACAAAATGCTTGTCTAGAAAGCACAACAAGGTCCTAGGTTCAGTCTGCTGTATTGGGGGGTGCAGGTTGAGAGTTGTTCCTAAATTCTCTAGCTTTGTCTTTGATGCCCTACATGTCACTTGAACTATAGTTTCAAATAACAGCAAGGTAAATAATAAGATAGAAAGCATTGTACTTCTGGCTTACTTTGGAGTTTTGAGGAAATAGTCTGCAAAACCAAACCACTGTTTAAAACATTTTTCTATAGGAAAAGGTTTTTGTTTTTGTTTTTTTTGTCTTTTTGAGACTGTATGATTATATAGTTCAAGCTGACCTTGAGCTCACTGTAGCCCAGGCTGGTCTCAAACTCACAATGATCCTCCTACCTCAGCTAGTAAATGGGATTACAGCCATGCATCATGCCTGGCTGGGAAATGTATTCTAGATTGAGACACTATGGAATATGTAGGGCCCAATATTAAGAATAATGTGTACTTAAATACATATATAAATTGTAATGGCTCCTCTGCTGGCTTTGACCTTTTCTACCTGTGTTCTGATATTAGGGCAGTGACTAATTGTGAATCTTTGGTGAAGGACTTCTATTCCAACCTGGGATTACAGTACCGGGACAGTAGCTCTGAGGATGAAGCATCTCAGCCTACAGAAATAATTGAGATTCCTGATGAAGATGATGATGTGCTCAGTATTGATTCAGGTAAGAGATGAGGATTTAGGTAGAAAAGTCTCAAGATTGAAGTAAAAATGCTAGAAGATAGAGAGATAAGAGAAAAAAAAATTGTCATTAACTCCATATTCCAACCTGCTCAGAAAAAAATGTATCCATGTTAATACCATAGATGTCCTCAATGTGCTGTACTCTGATACTTTACCCATCTGTCCCCAGTTAGTGTAACCTTTATTTTAACTTTTCTTGTCTTTCTTTATAGGTGCCATCACGTTATGTATGTATCTCCAAACAGATTTTTCCCTATTTTGTTTTTTTTTTAGTTTTATCAAGATATTTACATACCATAAAATTTATCCATTTTGACTGGTATGATTTGAAATTTAGTACATTTATATAGCAATCCAGTTTTAGAACATCACGCATCAAGTTTCCTGTGCCTGTTTATCAATGTCCACTGTAACCCCCAACAACTATTGATATGTTTTTTTTCTCTGTATAAGTAGAGATACTGCTTTGTTTGTGTTTGGTTTCTGCCAATATTTTTGAAGTACATTCAAGCTATTGCATGTACCAGTAGTTTTAGTCTTTTGAGGGGGAATTATCTTCAGTTCTGTAGATGTACTCTGTGTTTTTTTATCCATTCCATAGGTGGTATGCATTTGGACTATTTTAGTTTTAGCAATTGTGAATAATGCTGCTATAAACATGTGTGTATATAAATCTTTTGTGGGAATTATTCTGTGTATGACTGACTCTTCAGGAAGCTACCATTTCACATTCTCATTAACCAAGTATGAATGTTCCACTTTTTCTGCATCTTTGCCATTGCTTGGTATTGTCAGTTTTTCACTGTAGTAGTTTTAGTTGGTGTTTGGTAGTATCATTTTATCATTGTAGTTTACATTTCACTTGTGACATGATATTGAATGTCTTTTCATGTGCTTATTTGCCACTTTTGTATGTTTTTTTGGGGAAATAACTTTAAATCTTTTCCTTTGATGAAGTTGTCTTTTTGTTTTTATTTTTTTTATTTTTGGGGTTTTTTTTGTTTGTTTGTTTTGGTCTTTTTCCTTTTTATCAATACCAGGGATCGAACTCATGACTGCCTGCTTGCGAGGCAGGCACTTATGCCGCTGAGCTAAATCCCCAGCCCCAAAGTTGTCTTTCTATTGATTTAAAAGGTATTTAAGATGGGTGTGGATCCTATATGCTTGTGTATTTAAGATGGGTATGGATCCATATGCTTGTGATCCTAGCATACGGGAGACTGAGGCAGGATCACCACAGGTTCCAGGTCAGCCTGGGCTACATAATGAGTTCAAAGCAGCCTGAACTACATAGTGAGACCCTGTCTTGTACCACCCACACACACTGAAATAAAAGACGTTTAAGTACTCTACATATAATTCTTTTATCAAATGTATGTTATAAAAATGTCTACCAGATATGCCTAGTCTTTTTTTGTAGTAGTACTAGAGATTGAACCTAGGGCCTTGTACATACCCTACTAGGTTAGCACCCTGTCTTTCATCTATTTTCTTTTGGAGGCTTTTTAGGGTGGGTAGTGTGGTTGAGACAGGGTATTGCTGTGTAGTTCAAGCTGGCCTTGTACTTGTGATCATCCTACTTCAGCCACCCCAGTTCTAGAGTTACATTTTCATTTTGTTAATGGTGTCTTTTTTTTTTTTTTTTTTTTTTTTTGTCTTTTTCATTTTTATCGGTACCAGGGATTGAACTCACGACTGCCTGCTTGCAAGGCAGGAGCTTATGCCTCTGAGCTAAATCCCCAGCCAATGGTGTCTTTTAAAGAATAAAAATTAAGGATAAATGCTGAGGGTTGTTTTAAATATGACTACCCAGGCATCCCCATGAATATGTACTGTCCTTTTGATCCCTTTGCCAGGAATCAAATGATCAATGTGGAAGTCTTTTATCAGGTTCACATAAACATTTGTCTCTGCCAGCACCACATTGTCTTAGTTACTGTAGCTTTTTGATAAATATTAGTATCAGTATAAGTCCCCCAATTTATTTGTATTCCATGCACATTGCATACAGATTTTACAGTCAGTTTGTCATTTTCTACTCCAGAAAAAGAGACACAGTAAAGGATTTTTTATTAAGGGACTATATTCACCTTGGAAATCAATTTGGGGATTTTAACTTTTTTTAACAATACCAAGTTTTAATTTAGGATCATGCCATCTCTCTCCATTATTTTACCAATGTTTCTTAGCCTTATCTTTTTTTTTTTAATTTTTATACTAATGTGACGATATTCATAATGTCATTGGCTATAATAATATGCTTGAGGTTTAAATATTGACCTTATATCTTGTGATCTTACTAGGGTCACATAGTAGTTCTTTAAAGTTTTTTCTTGGTTCCTTAGAACTTTTCTAAAACTAAGTCATGGAAATAAAGTGTATTTTACTTCTTTCCTTCTAACTTGAATGTCTCTTATTTTTTGCATTATTACACCCACTAAAACATTCAGGATAATATTGAGTAAAAGTTTGGAGAACAGACGTATTTCCTTGTTTGATTTTAGAGTGAAAGCATTTGATTATTAACCACTTACTTTGATATTAATTATCAAATTATAAAATTATCAAAATTATCAGTTTTTTTTTTTTTTTTTTTTTTTGGTAAATGCCCTTTATCAGGTTGAAGGAGTTTCCTTTTCTAGTGGGTTTTTATCATTTCTTGATTGGATTTTGGTTACAGATTATTTTTTGTTTAGCTGGGGTTTTTTGTTTGTTTGGGGTGGTTGGATCTTTGAGGTTTTTTGTTTGTTTGTTTGTTTTTGATTTTGGGTTTTTGTCAGCTACTTTGTCTATGTCTTCCTCATAGATAGCTTTTGTTCATTTAATAGGTTATGTCACCTGGGCGTGGTAATATATACCCGTGATCCCAGCATTGTGGAGACTGAGGGAGGACTGCAAGTTTGAGCCCAGCCAGGGCAATTTAGCAGCAGTAAGACCCCATCTCAAAATGGGAAGTGGGGAGATGTAGCTCAGTTCAAAGGCTCTTAGTACCTAGAAACCCCCTCCCCTCAAAAAAAGAGAAAGAAGGTTATATTACAATAATTTGGGGAGATAGTAAACCAGTTTTGTTTTGATGTAATAGTTTCTTTTTATGTGGTGTTGAAAGTGATTTGCTGGGCTGGGGATTTAACTCAGCGGCATAAGCACCTGTCTTGCAAGCAGGCAGTCGTGAGTTCGATCCCCGGTACTGATAAAAAAGGAAAAAGACCACCAAAAAAAAAAAAAATTATTTGCTAATAGTTTGTTAAGAATTTGCATCCATCTCTCCTTCCATTCTTGGTTCCTTTCTTTCTCTCTCTCTCTCTCTTTTTTTTTTTCCTGAGGCAGGGTCTCACTAAATACATAATTCAGGTTGACCTCACTGGCCTTGAAATGCAACAGTCTCTTGCCTCAACCTCCTCAGTGGTGGAATTACAGGCTTGCACCACCATGACTAGCTTCTTTTTTTTTTTTTTTTTTATGGCTAGCTTCTTATATAATCATTTAAAGCTGTAATGTTCCCTTTAAGCATCTTTTTTTTTTTTTTTTTTTTAAATCGGTACCAGGGATCGAACTCACGACTACCTGCTTGTCACGCTGGCATTTATGCCGCTGAGCTAAATCCCCAGCCCCTTAAGCATCATTTTTAAATTACCGTTTTTTTTTTATCAAGGCATTATTTAGAAATATGTTACTTGATTTCCATATATCTGGGGATTTTCCAGATATACTTTTGTTGGTAATGTTTAATTTTGTTGAGGTCAGAAAATAATTTTTTCAATATCATTCCTTTTAAATTAATTTAGATTTTGTTTTGTTTTGTTTTTGCTTTTGAACCCAGAGCCTTCCCACTGAACTAGTTTGAAACAGAGTCTCATTCATTTTTCCAGGCTGGGCTCAACTTTATGATCTGCCTATCTTAGTCTGGGTCCCAGAGATATACCAGCACGTTGAGCTAAATGTTGCTACTTTTGACGCACTGATGCGTTGTTTAGGAATGTTACTTTGGAGTGCTAGTGATTGAACCTAAAGCCTTTATATAGGCTATGCAAGCTCTCTAACAATGAGCTATAGCTCCATTCCATTTTAAGTTTTATTTTTGAAATAGAGTCTCACTAAATTGCCTAGGCTGGCCAAAAACTTTAAATCCTTTAACCTCAGCCTCCCAAGGAGCTGGGATTGTAGGCCTGTACCACCACCTCATCCCATTATTTAAAATTTTTTGTAATTCACTACTGTAAGAGAGAAGAGTCTTTTTCCCTCCTACTATCCTTTTATAATTTTAGCATTAGGATATCAGTGATTTAATAGAAAAAAATAGTATTTCCTTTTCAGATTCTTTGAAAGTATTCATAAAAATGAAATTATTGGGGTCAGGGATCTAGCTCAGTGGCATAAGCCTGGCAAGTATGAGGTTGTGAGTTCAATTGCTGGTACCAAAAAAAAACGAGAGAAAGAAAAATGAAATTATCTTTTCCTTGGGTATTAGGTAAAATTTGCTTGTAAACCTATTTAGGTGTTTATTTGCCTTTTTTTTTTGTACTGGGGATGTTAACTCACAACCTCACGCTTGTGCTGCTGAGCTAAATCCCCAGCCCTTGTGTTTATTTTCTTTATGTGAGGCTTTTCTAGTGTATATCAAGTCAGTTTTGGCAGTTTGTAATTTTCTAGTAGTTTAGCCATTTTGTCTTTTTAAGTTTTCAGTTCACTGGAATAAAGATTCTGAGTAGGATGCAGTGGCACACACCTATAATCCCGGCACTTTGGAGGCTGAAGCAGGATTCCTATAAGCTCAAGGCCAGTCTGGTCTACAAAGTGCGTTCAGGGCCAGCCTGAACTGCAGAGTGAAACCCTGTCTCAAAAAAAAAAATCTGCTGCTGCTTTTAGCTGAGCTTGACTTTTAATTCAGATCTTTTACAGGAATTATTATCTTGAACGTTTTTATTGTCTTCTATTGTCTCTTACTCTCCGTTTTGCCTTTAAGTCTGAGATTAGGACATG